CTCTAATGTGATGCTAAGGTACCAGGTGACCTACGGCAGCTCTAATGTGATGCTAAGGTACCAGGTGACCTACGGCAGCTCTAATGTGATGCTAAGGTACCAGGTGACCTACGGCAGCTCTAATGTGATGCTAAGGTACCAGGTGACCTACGGCAGCTCTAATGTGATGCTAAGGTACCAGGTGACCTACGGCAGCTCTAATGTGATGCTAAGGTACCAGGTGACCTACGGCAGCTCTAATGTGATGCTAAGGTACCAGGTGACCTACGGCAGCTCTAATGTGATGCTAAGGTACCAGGTGACCTACGGCAGCTCTAATGTGATGCTAAGGTACCAGGTGACCTACGGCAGCTCTAATGTGATGCTAAGGTACCAGGTGACCTACGGCAGCTCTAATGTGATGCTAAGGTACCAGGTGACCTACGGCAGCTCTAATGTGATGCTAAGGTACCAGGTGACCTACGGCAGCTCTAATGTGATGCTAAGGTACCAGGTGACCTACGGCAGCTCTAATGTGATGCTAAGGTACCATGTGACCCCTGGTGCAGAGACTGATCTTTTCTTCTTCTTTGTTTTCAGGCCGGTCTGACCTGGTCTGTACCGACACCCTGGACAGAGGTTGGTTTGATGTTGCTTTGATGTTGAGGAAACTCTTTGAAGATTTTCTGCTCACGTGTGGTTTTGTTTGTTTTGTTCTTCAGACCCGGCGGTGAACACGGTCACTCTGCTGGTCCTGGTCCTCAGACTGATCTTCATCAAAACCGTGGTCTTCAACGTCCTGATGACGCTGCGTCTGTGGATTCAGTACCGTAACGTCTCGGTCTGACAACGTTGGTTTTCTTTAAACCAGATTTCATTTTTGATTTTTCTTTTTCAACTATTTTGAACCAAATCTCCTTCGTAGCTCCTCAGCTTTTACAAAACGTCTTCTATTTTTGAATGTGTTGTCATTTCAAATGTCTTTTTACATCAGTGAATAAATTTTTCTTCAAAACAACTCAGTCTGTGCTTTGTTTGATTTGATTTGAGCTACGTTTTTATTAACTGTAGTTTGTATCAAAACCTCCATAAATACATAGAAATAAAACAGGATTTATATTTGTATGTTTACAAATATATTTAACAGATGAAATGAAAACATTCATATTTCTTCTGTATATCATTAAAACACGAAACTCAAAGAGAAACAAAGTTCAACGATGTTAAAATTCAAACATTTTTAAAACAAAAGATCTTTTTGGTGACACTCTCTGGCTGTGATCTGATTGGCTGCTGCCGCTGCGGCTGGAAAACCTGCAGCGCAGCTTCACTGTTTCCACAGGATGTGGTCACATGACCAGATGAAACTGCTGCTGAAGACGTCACAGGCGAGGAAGGCGTCGGCGGTTTGTGCCTAAATGACTGCTGGGACAGGAAGTGTGGGTGAGTGTGGGCGTGGCTGTGGGGGCGAGATGAAGATGTGACGGTCTCAGGTGTGACCTCCAGGTCAAACACTTCCTGACGACGACACAACAACCCTGTTTACGAATCACAAACAAGTACTCATGACATCTTTACGAGAGGAGGAGCGGGGGGGGGGGGGTACACACATATATATTTAAAATATATTTGTTATAAATATCTTTCATTTATTACAATGTCAAATACATTTATATATGTACATATACACGGTAAATAGATGAATACATGTGTGTGTATTTATATATGTATATACATACTGTAAATATATAAATACATGTGTGTGTTTATATATATACTGTAAATATATAAATACATCTGTTTATTTATGTGTACATATACACTGTAAATATATGAATACATGTGTGTATTATGTGTACATATATACTGTAAATACATGACTACATGTGTGTCTATTTATATATGTATATACATACTGTAAATATATAAATACATATGTGTGTATTTATATATGTACATATATACTGTAAATATATAAATACATCCCTGTGGTACAATGACAATACAGACCATAAACTAAAAAAAATACTGTAAATATATAAATACACAAGTGTGTGTATTTATATATGTATATACATACTGTAAATATATAAATACATCCCTGTGGTACAATGACAATACAGACCATAAACTAAAAAAAATACTGTAAATATATAAATACACAAGTGTGTGTATTTATATATGTAGGGGAGACTGGGTTTGGTTGCAACACTTTTTGCTTCAGAACCTGTAACTCACGGAATATTTGAGCTCGAGTTCTCAAACTTTTATACAAAGTACCCACATTTGTTTACTACAAACGGTACCGATTCAAACCTCTGCAAGTACATCACACACCTCGTCAGTTGATGTCAAACACATGGAGTTCCTTGTCGGTTGTAACAATTAGACAAAAGAAGCAAAAACAGGGGTCAGAAAGAGGCTGGTGGTCCGCTACTCGGAGGGCGTGGGCCAGCGTGGCCCAGCGTGGCCCAGCGTGGCCCAGCGTGGCCCAGCCGGGCCTAGCCGGGCCCAGCCGGGCCCAGCCGGGCCCAGCCGGGCCCAGCCGGGCCCAGCCGGGCCCAGCCGGGCCCAGCCGGGCCCAGCCGGGCCCAGCCGGGCCCAGCTGTCTGCTGCTCGTCCCATGTTTGTGGGCGTTTGGTGTTGTACCTTTTCTGACCTAAAAGAAAGTGGAATAGAAAACCTGAGAACATAGACCACCCGAGGTTGTTCCATTTGTGTCCAGTTCTGCTCTGGTCTCCAGTGACGAACCTGCCAGCTGTTACAGACCGACTTACAATATTCTGTAAAATGTATTAAAATGAAGAAAATGTTCGTAGTTGTACGTAAGGCGATGGTTTTTAAAAATGTGTCACACCCCACCCCGCCCCTGTCAGCCACTGTTCAGCTAGCTGTATTAGCATAGTGCTTTGAAAATAGCAGGGGAGAAATGCATCACATTATGACTGAGAAACTACAATCTAAGGGAAGTCACATGGTTTTATGTACGAAACAAAATATAGTCTTGGGCAAAATATTTACTTTCTTACATCAAAATTGTTTTTTTTCTCTACTGAATCTTCGTGCGCCTGTTTCCAACCTTGAACACTGAAATGATATCATATAACTAACCTATCTCATCCCTGATTGGTGGAATTGGTGGTGTTCCAACTCTCCCCAAGTTACAACCATACCCAGTCTCCCCTATATATGTATATATATATGTAAATATATATTCACTATAAATATATAAATACATATGTGTGTGTATTTATATGTGTACATATGTACTGTGAATATATAAATACATGTGTTTGTATTTATATGTGTACATATATAATACATATATAAAAATACATGGGTGTATTTTTATATATATATACTGTAACTATATAAATATATGTGTGTGTATTTATATATATACTCTAAATATATAAATAGATGTGTGTGTATTTATGTGTACATATGTACTGTGAATATATAAATACACATGTGTGTATTTAGATATATACCGTAAATATATAAATACGTGTGTGTATTTATATGTGTACATATATAGTACATATATAAATATATGTGTGTATTTATATGTGTACATATATAGTACATATATAAATATATGTGTGTATTTATATATATACTGTAAACATATAAATACAAGTGTTTGTATTTAAGACTCAAGTCAAAACGTTGGGCAGACTCTGAACTACTTTCTGCACCTCAGCTGCAGCCGCCTGACTTCCTGTTTGTGCAGGAAGTCAGGCGGCTGTGACAAGAGGTTTTGAGGTCACGTTGACATATTCTGAGAACACCACAGAATATTTCCATCACAGGAAATGGAACAAAAAACATTTGAACCTCTGGAGTCTGTCATCGTAATATGTTTGTATGAAATTAATGTTTGAACAACAGGAAACGGAAGAAACTGAAGACATGAAGACATGAGGACCTGAGGACCTGAGGACCTGATGTACTGTATATATATATATATATACTGTACATATCCATATATATATATGTGTATATATATACAGTATATTTATATATATTTCTGCTATATCTTAGCTGTATATTGTCATATATTGATCCTATTTTCCTTGTATTTCCTTATATTCTGAATTCATTGAGTCTAATTCCTGCATGGTGGATTATATTTTATACCATATATATTATATATTTTATCACAGTATTATCCGAATACTCATGTACAGCTACACGTACAGTAATGTTGACTTTCTCATGTTAGCCACATTAGCTCCGTGTCCTTGTTCCACTCTGAGACAAACGTCTACAATGCTGACAGTTTGAGTTCAGTTCTTCCATCCTTGTCATGTGACACCATCGCCACCTAGTGACCAATACACTCTCACTCACATTTATGACCAACTTAAGACAAATTCCTGCAGGTGATGTCATTATCTGGCCCCGCCCTCACAGGCATCTTGGCAGAAAACAGAAGAGAAATCATCCAATGACTGTTGAACAGGAAGTGACACGCACCTGACATTTCCTGTCACGGTGGCTGGAGGCGCTGCAGACATCAAATAACAAAGGTAAAAGAGGTCAATGCTAGCATGAAGCTAACATATTCAGTCAAGGTAATGGGCTGCTTGAACACAACAGAACGACTTGATTTGATTTGATTTATTTTCAGTTGAGCAGCACAAAAATCCTGTTGGTGATGGACAGAACACAGTACTCCATGAAGACACAGTATTTCAAAGATCACAGTAAAGATTACAGTAAACACTAACATCTCAGGACACAGAACAGAGATAACTGTTGGGCTAGCATGTTGTTTTGGTATTTTGGTTGCGCGACCAATTAGCTTTTACAAATGATTGTAAAACATGACATTCTAACATAGAAGTGTGTCAATAAAATACCTTTGTTCACATGCTAAAAATGTTAGCCTTAGTGTACCACGAATAGTAGTTGTTAGCCTGTGCTTTAGCATGAATCTAAAATGTTGATTTTGTTAGCATTATTTTGAGCATGGAGCTAAGATGTTCAAACATGTGACACTGAGAAACATCGGTTCTGTAGAGGGAAGTCCCCGGGAGCTGCAGTCGTCTTCTGGACAGTGTCTCCCTCTAGTGGAGGGCAGCAGCAGCAGCAGCAGCAGCAGGTGTTCTTGTACAGAGCTGTGGTGTTTCCTGTCACTGTGGGCCTCACAGCACAGTAGTAAACAGCAGAGTCTCTCACTGCAGCACTGTTGATCTGCAGCTCCACATGTTTCTCAGGTTTGTTGATGTGAGTAGAGAAACCAGGAACTGTTGAACTCACTGATCCTTGCTCTGTGATGGAGAACATGACCTCTGGTCTGGATCGTTCCCGTTGTTGGTACCACACAATACTGTAAATGCTTCCTTCATATTTACAGCTGAGCACCATCTTTTCTCCTTCTAATCCAACTGTTTCAGGAGTCAGAGACGTTATGCCGACCAAGGAAACGGTGGCTGTGGAGAGAAGGTCAGTGAGTCAAACACCAGTCTCCACTCAGATGGTCTCAGTCTGCTTCGAAATCTACACAGATTGTCCTAAAGTGCTGAGCTTTAGAAGACGTTGGTCCCACAGGTGGACTGGGACGGTGGTTCGATGTCAACTTACCGATAAAATGTGACAAAGACAGAAGGAGGAGAATCATCACGTCTTTGGAGATGCAGCAGTCCAACAAGAACTGATGAACATTCAGACTGACACAGCAGTACTGCTGATGTTCAACGCCCCCTACTGTCACCGTTGGGTGAGAAGGTTTTTGGAAACGTGAAATGTTCCGTTCATTCAAGAATATCAGTGGCTTCACGGAGGTTTCTTCTGACCTGGACCTGGACCTGGACCTGGACCTGGACCTGGTTTCTTCAGTCCTTCATCAGAACTGCTCGGTGAAGTCGAAGGATACTGAGGACAATTTGTGTGAGGGATTATTAAAAAGTGTTGCCTGTGCTGTTAGCGCCCTCTGCTGCTTTAACTAATGCACTACAAGAAGTGTCGGAATCAATGGAAGGAAACAGACATTGATAAACAAACAATCCGAGACTCAGAGAAAACCCACATCCAGATGTTCCTGGACTGAGAAGACCTGTCAGAGTACCAAGTTTGTCCACTGTGGGCTACAGTCGGGCCGCGCTCCTCCAACATGGACGCCCCGCCCCTGATGTTCAGGTGAGTGTGTGAGACTTGTTCAAATGTCTACGTTTTTCCTTTAAATTTACATTTTACTCATAAAAACATGTTAAATGAAGTTGCTCGCTCACGGCGCGCGCCCTCGTTTCTTACTTCCCTTGGGATCGCGCTCAGTGTGGGGCTCGTGCACGGCCAGGAGAGAGTCCGCGACTGAGTGGATGAACCGGACAGTTCACGCAAATACACTCACACACTCACACAAACAACCACAACCACACACACACACACTCCTCGGTCGAACACAGCCTGGTTCGTGGTCAGGAGACGAGGCAGCGGCTCGTGGTCAGGAGACGCCGGTGTACCGGAAGTTTTCCCGCGGCTCAAAGTGGACAATGAGCGAAGCGCTGCCCGGCTGGAGGAGCGCTGCTAACGGCTAACAAAGTGTGGAATGACGCATCAAAGTGTGACTTTGTCCGCTGGAAACAAACTCTGTGAAGTCCGGGGAACTCTGCCGGGATTTCTAAACTTTTTTTCATTCGCTTTTCCGGTCGGACATGGAGCTGGACTCGGTTCCCTGCGACAGTGGGAGTCTCCTGGAGCCGCTGTTGGAGCGGCTACTGGCGGATACAGTGTCCCAGCAGCAGGGCTGGATCCGGGCGTACGGTAAGAAGCCGCCGCGGGTCACAGCTCAACCAGGCTTCAGGTTGTGTTTAGGTCAAGGTGATTCACAGGTTAATGTCAGTACAAATGTGTTTTAATGGGGAGTTAGTCGTTGATATGAATGAAGTGAGTAACGTGTTCACAGAAAGGTTCAAACTGTAACACTGTATCGTTACATTCGTGTTGTTACCAACAGCTTTGTTACTAAAATATCAAATAAATATTTATTTCTTATTTATTTCTTCCTACAAATGTTGACACATCCAGTAAAGTTCACAGGAGCCAATCAGGTGACGGTCAGGTTACAAACATGTAACAGTGTTACATGGGAAGTGTTACTTTGTGACGAGCTCAATGTTTCCGCTACAACACATGAAAACTCAGCAGAAGTCCAGGATGTGGACTGGGACAGTGCCTGTCAATAGTACCAGGACTGTTTTTGGTTCTACCGCCTCAGTGTGGACGTCAACACAGGCCACAGTGCTTTGAACAGTTCTTTAAACAGTTCTGGTGCTGGTGATTTCTCCTACAGTGACTTGTGTATGTGAAGCTCAGCCCCTCCCTCTTTGCACTCAGGTCAAAGTTCACCTCCCCATTAGTTCCAGTGGCCAAAAGAAGGAGGGGAGGATGTAAAAATAGAGCCGAGCCTGTGAACAGTTGTGAGCCCAGTGAGAAGCAGATCAAGTCTAACAATAACCAAAACTACAGAGGTTCAGTGAACGCACCACAGAGAACCTTCAGGTCCACGGAGAAAATCAGAGATTTTAGTTCAGACCAAAGTCCATGGAGAAAATCAGAGATTTTAGTTCAGACCAAAGTCCATGGAGAAAATCAGAGATTTTAGTTCAGACCAAAGTCCATGGAGAAAATCAGAGATTTTAGTTCAGACCAAAGTCCATGGAGAAAATCAGAGATTTTAGTTCAGACCAAAGTCCATGGAGAAAATCAGAGATTTTAGTTCAGACCAAAGTCCATGGAGAAAATCAGAGATTTTAGTTCATGTGACTGATCAACAGGAAGTGGGTGGAGCCACCAAAGGTGATGGAGACAGAACGTTGTGTGTCCTTGTCCTGTTCTCTGGTCCATCCATCTGATTGACTTCCTGTCTCTGTTTGTCCTCTTCCTGCTGCTGCTACAGGAATGTCATCACTTCCTGTTTGGAATCATTTCCAGGATGAGCAGCTGAACTGGTGTCGGTCAGTCACTGGGACTGTATGTTGATTGGTTCCAGCTCCACTGACCTGAAGCTCAGTCAGATTATGTCAGTGGATGTAATCAGATTAACTCTGAAAGTTGGTGAAACCACACTGACAGCAGTCTGGAGTGTGAATGTAATCTGATTACTGTGCATGCTGTAATTAAAGTACTTCCAATGGTAGTACTCAGATTATTGGATAGTTATTTTCTGTATAAGATTGTTTTGGAATAATCGTTTTAGATTGGAAGCAGATTTGACAGATTTGTGCTTGTATCAGATCATTGTGACGTGCACTCCCAGATGGAATGGGTTTATTGTAGTTATTAATTATTATTATTGTGTATCCAGATATTTGGTTTTGTATCCAGATTACTGTGGTGTGTAATCAGATTACAGCTGTGAGTTGAGTCGACACTGAAGCAGATTAAGGAAGTTCAAGCTGAAACTGAGTTTTCAAACAGGAAACCACAGTCTAGCTCCTGATTGGTTGGTCTCTCCTCAGACATGGTCATGTGATTGTACGTCTCCCATTGACTTCCTGTCAGGAAGTAGCATTGTAGCGTGTAGAGACACGGAGATGGAGATGTGAAGACAGCATCTCCACTTTGTCTCCGTCCTCATTTTTTTTTCTTCACCAACTGATCGGCGCCCTCTTGTGATTGACAATGAGACAAAGCAGCGGTGAAACTCCGGCTGTGAAAGTTCAGCACGGCCCGTATGTCTGGCACCACTGCAGGAAGTCTGGTTTGAACTTCCGCCCAGAGTCGGGTCCTGAAGAGCCTCTGGACAGATACGGGTGGAGGACGGAACCTTGGAATCCGTCCCTCCGGACCAGGCCCACCTCTCTGCACAGGCTCCTCCCCTTCCTCAGGTCCTTGTCAGACTCCGGGACAAACTGCGTCACCAAGAGGACGGAGCTTAAAAAGAACGAGTCTGACGAGGAAAGACGAACTCTCTCCGTCGGCAGATTCTTCCGAGCCGTGTCTCTGAGAATCCATGGAGTCTACCGGGACGGGGAGTGTCTCGGTATGACAGGG